CCCCCCCCCCCCCACTCCCCAACGTGACTATACATCTCTGCATAACATTTTATCCTTATTAACATTAAAGAAAAGGAAAAAAGAAAGACATATGGTCAAACTTACAAAGAATAACTTTATTAAATCGTGTTTTAAGTCTGCGAAAGAAAAGATTTTAAGTGCATCAATGCCTGAAATTAAAAATAAATAAATCCTTGTTTATACTGTAAACATGTTTGACCAACTAATTGCACCATTGCAAAATTAAATCAAATCAATAAATAATATCTAATAATTATAATAACTAATAAACTACAAAAACAACAAAAATAATAACTAATTTATATCTAGTTAAGCAACATTAACGTCGTAAAATGTTGCACTGAAGTAACGATGACAGCGCCACTGCCCCTACTGGAGTGGAGGCGCAATTACACTTTATACTAGTACGGCACAAAAAAAAAAAGGCTGTTCCCCAGAGTCACACGCGCCCCCCCAGGTATCACACCCCCCACTATTTGAGAAGCACTGGGTCAGGTGCAGGTACCGGTGGTTCTGCCGGTGGCGTGGAGAGCCAGCACGGCCTGCATGGCCACATAGACCAGGGGAACATGGAAGCCCTCAAACATCAGCTCCACCATGCGCTGCCGGTTCTCCAGGGGGTTCATGGCTGCCTCGGTCAGTAGAACAGGGTGGTCCTCAGGGTCCACACCCAGCTGCTGGAACGTGTGGTGCCAGATCTGAAAGCAGTCCAAAGTAGGGATGCAAATGATCGATTCATTCGTTAATCATTAGTTGATTATCTTATCGATCGACTTTCGATTAATTGATAAGCGGCGTTTTTCACCTGAGTTTCAGGGCTTCAATAGGGCCTTCATATAATTGAGGTATTATATTACATTAGCCAACATTATGATACCATAATTATATTGTATTATATTATACATTCCTCAAGTAATTATGCATTAGGAGAAGAAAGCAGACATGTTTTTAAGGTAAAACAAAATCTTTAATTAAAAAAAAACCTGGCTCAGTTCTTGCATGATAGCGCATCTCTCCGGCTGATGCTAATGCTAACGGATAGGTGGCTATGCTAGCGAGCTAGCTGGCTAACGCCCCAACGTTCTTGTTTTTGTGGTCGCGGACAGTCGCTATGACAACCATCTTTGCCTGAATTAACAATATTGAAGTGGTCCCACACCGCACTTCTTTTCGCCCGCTTCATTTTGTTTTCAACCCTGGTCTCGTTCTCACGCTGTGTTCAAGTTACAGTAAAGCGCTAGCGGTTAATCGTGATTAATACATTTTGATCGAGCAACCTCTTGATCGACAATTAATCTAAAGTCGATTAACCGTTTGCATCCCTGGTCCAAAGTAACAGACACCGACATAAGAGGAGCTCTGTCCAGTCTGTGGTGGAGCTTTTACAGCTGCAGAACCACTGGGAACCCCCCTCCCAGGGGATGGGTGAGGTGGTTTGTCAGATTATATGTGGGCAATGCGTTAAGCATTTATTTTATTTTATTTATTTATTTGAATAGAGACAAAGCACATTAGTGGACATCAGTGAAAACAAATGTAAATATGCCGGATTGTAGCTACAAAGCTAATTTTCATCCGTAGTCCCTAGTTAAAAAATAACATAATAAACAATACAAGCATCACAATTAAAAGTTTAGATTTTAGTGGTCACATGACTGGCTTGCTTTCATCCAAAGTTTAAGTTGATCTCTAAAGCTGGTCAGTATGGGGCTCTCCCGTATGTATTACTGATAAACTTCTAAATTGTAATCTTTATTTTGCATGAATGAATTTGATCCAGTCATAGCGACACCAAACCAACACCCCTGATGGACTGACACTCATGAGTCAAGTCTATGTGCAGCTACAAAAGAAAAAACTCACTCTAAACAGCCATTGTGTACTCCATTTACCTTTTCCATTTCATCCCAATTACGAATGATCCCATTCTTTATGGGGTGCCTCAGGGCTAAGACACCTCTCATTAGTTGAGCGTCATGGCCAATATAGGTTTCCCTTTCCGGGCTACTATTCATGACTTCCTGCAAAGAGAAAATATAAATAAGAAGAAATGCCCCTACTCACAAAAAAATCCTCATTTTGATACCAATTTAATTCTTTGTCTGCTTTGGCTCCTGATAAGGAGAAATCTAGCCGTTTGAAACGATAAACAAAAGGTGTAGCCCATCGTATTACTGAAAAGCCGTCCAAGGACAAAAGTTCTCCAAAGCTTTGGAATGTTCAATTCCATAAAAAAAAAATTTTAAACGAATAAAAGAAAACGAACTCCATAAGTTGCCTTTCTACAAAGTGCTTTAAGTTAATGCACCTTATTCACCCATTCATACACCAATATATCTGGGAAACAAAAAGGCGCAAAAAAAAAAAAAAAAAAAAAAAAAACGTATGTAACTTTTAAAGTGATGATTATAAATGTTTATTCCTGATGTTTAGGATATAAGGAAGCACCAAACCAGCGAGATAAAGAGAGAGAGAGAGTTAGAGAGATAGATACCAATTCTCCACTTTGCCATATCCAAGATGGCGGCCACATTGACGTACGATTTGGCCCTCAATGCTGCGTCCATGTATAGACTATAAATCACCCACTCTGGGCCAAATCATGGCAAATCCAAGACGTAAAGGAAATTGGACTTCTTGGATGTCGTCCAAAAGGTCTCCTCAGTTCTGCGTTTGACAAGTTTGTCCACCACCATCTCCACACATGCAGCGGTCAAATAAGCTACTCAACATCCTGAGCAGAGGTCAGCTTCAAAAGTAAATAAAGAGATACTTCTAACTGGTGTTCAAGTAAAAAGCCAGCTGAAGTACTTCTAAAACAATGGAGCAAAAGCCCATCTGACCCATGCTGCGGCTTCATTCTGAATGCGTCTATTGCTCCGTAAAGACCTAAAATATCTAACATCAGAAGCACATCTGTGTTCAACCATTAAATACCAGCACATTTTAGAAAGAACTGTCCTCACCTCATATTTTGGCATTCCAATAATGGTTGGAAAGATAACATGTGGGTGCTCCTGATCTGCAAATCCAGCCTTCATCAAACCAGAGCCTGTATCTAGTACTATGGGGGTCCTAAAATCTGCAGCCTGGAATCACAACAAGAAGGAAAAGAAAGGGATTCACAGCACAGGTTGGAGTGGCTACTCGGGCTCCTACCCCCCCCCCTCTAAAGGTCCCAGCGACATACCTCTCTCCCGTTTCCATGGGGCGGGGCCTGCATTCCTGCTGACCCACTGTGGGACAGTCTCACTTCTTTACAGGTGCTGCCGGCCAGGTTTTGAGACGGGAGTGTGTGGTTATTGTTGTTGTTGTTGTCATTACAAGGTTCAACCTCTGGACTGACAGAGTCCTCGCTGTGGTCAGGGGGGGCCTCTGGCTCATGGACACCCTGAGCAACACAGCATGGGCCTGGATCACACACTTCAGGGGAATGAGGGGTGTTCACTTCTACTCCAATACTGTTCACCAGGTGTGAAGACTTGCTTGGCTCAGGAGGACCGGGTGGTGTCCCCTCTGGGTCAAAGGCTTCATCTCTCCTCAAACCAGGGCTTCCTGGTGCTGGTGCTTTATTGCATGAATCAGCGAGTCCTCCACACTGATCCAATGAAACACGCTGGTTGTGTAGGATAGCCTCTTCAGATGGCTGGTTCCCAGTGGATCTCCTCGTTCTGTCGGCTTCACCAGCATCCCGACAGGTTTCAGTGCAGGTTCCATCCTGGGAATTGTTCATGGCCAAAGGTCTGAGGTGTCCACTCTGTGGGAACAGCCCATTGCCCTCTATAGAGCATCCCAAGACATCTCCACCTTCATAACTGGAGTTTTTAAGAACAGAGTTTCTGTCCACACACATTTCACATTTCTCCTCCTTCCGTTCCTCTTTCCCCCCCAGTAACCCGTGTGCCTCGCACTCCTCCTCCTTCACAAACGGCTGCTTGTCCAAAAGTGGCTTCCCTGAGCCTTCATGGCTGTGGCCTTCTCTGCAGAGCTGCAGCTTCTGGAGCTCCAGGCTCTCCAGGCTCTCCTCCACCATCAGCTCATTGAGGATGGGGACGTTCCTAAACTCCGTCATTGGCTCTGGTCTGCGGCGAGGCTGGCCTCCTGCTGCATTGTCCATGAAGAGTTCCCCTGCACAGGCCTCAGCCGGTCCAGGTTCTCCAGCAGATAAGCAGTCCTCAAAGCCAAGGACCCCGGCATCAGCAGACTCACTAGACCACATCTGGAAGTGAAAATGCTGTCAATCGTGTGTATTGAAAACCTGAACAATGACCTGGTGGCTCCTGGATTATGTGAATTAGGATGTGCTAAAATATCATTTGTTCCAAAAATAAGAACTCGTTTAGCCAGATATCAATCCCAATGTTCTCTCTGGGTAAAATATAAACATGTTTCTAAAAGATTTGAGCTCAGAGACAGTAAGTTCCCAGCCGAGCTGAACATACCACTGCAGAATGGTCCTCAGTGTCCCACGGCGGCCAGAGATCCCTGACCTCTGACCTCAGCAAGTCATCCAGTGCGGTCTGCTGAGCCAATACATTTTCCTCCTCCTGCAAACACATGTTGAGCACACCTAGAGATGAAGACACTTCCTAGAGCTACTCTGACTCCTGGGAAGACTTGACTTGTCTGTCTGGAAAAAGATGCAGGTCCCTCACAACCATACTTGGAATTAAAGTGGTACGGAAAAAGAATAGATTTCAGTCTGGAGGAAGTTCACAGGGGACCACAAACCTCCAGTATTTCATCGATCCGGCCCAGGATGTTCTCCACCTCCTGCAGACCTTGCTGCTCCTTCACATCCCAGTCCTTTACAGCCAGAGGCCTCACACTGGAGAAGGAGACAGTCCCTTTTCAAACTCCACTAAAAATCCTCCAATGAAATAAAAGAATAAAACAAAAACAGACTTGCTCTCTTCTATTCAATTCTGATTTAGCTACTCAAATGCTACCCTGTCCACCAGCTGAACACACACACACACACATGCATTTGTCAGAGAAACACTTGAATATTTCCTAAGACAGGGGGGTCAAACTCCAGTCCTCCAGTTTCACCGTCCTGCAGGTTTTAGACATTTTCCTGCTTCTGAGTCAATTGGAGCTTGTTGTGGAGCATTACACCGGCCTGTTAACGGCTCTCTGATGTGAATCAGGTGAGTTGAAACAGGGACACTTCTAAAACCTGCGGGACAGCGGCCCAGAGAGGACTAGTGTTTGATACCACTGTCCTAAGAGGTCCATTTGTTTTGAAATGGAGGAACTGGGAGACACCCAAAGAGCCACAAATGATCTTATCAATAATTTTACCAAGTTCAGGAGTGTCAATAACTCTCCTGTTTTAAATAAGGCCAGCAAACGGCCTTCCCATCATACTGAAACTTCTGCAACCTGTAAGCATGCTACCAGCCAGTGGGACTTCATTCATCTGAAATGAAGCCCGAGTATCAAAGCTCTTCAAAGCAATCTGGCCCTGTTCAGGCAGTGAATCATGCACAGGCCTCCAAAAGACCGTGTGCAATTGAACACCGGATGTTGTTGGGACCAAATACCAACTTTAATCTGAGAGTGCTAACAGCACCGCACATCATCAAAAACACAAAGGATGCTGTTAAATCCAGCCCTTAAATCCACCTTGCATGTTGACGGTGTGGAGTCCTGACAGCCTAAAACTGTTAAAATGTGGAAGTCTGCAGTAACTACAAAATCCTTTCATGCTAAAACCTTTTAGCCAAGATCATCTCAAACTGCAATAACTGATTTGGGACTCAGGGAAAGCCATTTCAAACTCGTTTTCTGCATTTTGAGCCACCCAAGCAGTAGACCGGCAGCCCCCCAGGGGGGTGTACATCACAGGCATGCCTTCTAGAGACCTGGAACTCCCCGCAGGCTGCCGGTAAAGCAGCATTTGCATTTGGGGTACTAATAAAAAGATCTATTGGCCTTTACCAAGCTCCCCCATTCACATTACCCAACAATGGCGTCCGGCTCCTCGTCATGGAGATCATAGGAATCCCAGAGAAGAGTAGGAAGCCCCTCAGAGGTAGAGGTGGACTCGTCCATTTCATCTGTAATTGTGCTGGACAGAATATTGCAAATGGGGCTCAGGTCAGGATCATGGAAGCCACTTTGGGAATTTAGTGTCCAGTCCATGCTCGGTGGTTCTCTGGACTCCAGGTTTCTCATGACATCCATCTGTGGAGGCTCATCTTGATAACTTGTGGAGGGACTGACTGGAGCATGTGGTTCTGAGGCATCAGGACAGACCAGGTCCCTCTTCTGGGCCACCGAGTTCTCTTCAATGCTGACAGTATGAGATTCTTCCACATGATTTACAGGCACGCTCAGCCAGGGATTCCTAGGAAACCCAGCCACCTTGAGCTCAAGCTTCACAGTGTCCACCTGTCCACTGATCTGGATGTCTGCAGACTTTTCCACAGGCTGAATACTGCTCTGCTCTTTGGGGCCTTTACAATCGGATTTACAGGAAACATGACAGATTTGATGGTGCCTCCAGTTATGCGTCATGGAGTTCTCGCTTCCCGTTAATAGACCCTGCCCTCCATCTTTTCTTACACACACCTCCAGCTTGCTGCTTCGTGAGTCCAGTGGGCTCAGGGAAGGGGGTTTACCCTCAGCTGAGACCTTTCCAGGAGAAGCAGGCAGGTCTTCTTCCAGTCTCCATTCACCTTCTGAGTGGTTAAGCGGAGAAGGGTCGTGGGTTTCAGCCTTGGTCGTTTCTTTCTCAGCACTTTGAGAGTCGTGGTATACGGGATGGTTGTGGAACTTCTCATTCTGCCACTGCAAAGACAGCTGAAGCAGTTCAGCAGACACCGGTCCAGGGGACATTAGGAGTTTCCTCAAGGCCGTGCACCTGGGGAGTTCAAAAGGATTGCACTGTAACAGATCCACAACAACATCCTCACCCTATGAAGGGGACAGAACACGTTCTTGTCCGCCAACGGTGTGACAGACAGTCAGTGGTGGGAAGTACAAGTACTTCGTTACTGTACTTAACCGTAAGTATCTGTACTTTCTACTTCACTACATTTCTATACAGCGTTTCGTTACTCGTTACATCCAAGACGCATTTCGGGTTTTTGATTTGTTCGTTAGTTTGAAAGTATCCAATGGCGAGAGCAGAATCAGTCCGCTGAACCAATCCAAAGTGGGAAATAACCATTAGGCCCTCCCTCAAGAAGAGCAGCACAGTACCAGGACCTGCATAAAATATCTAAATCTAAACTGTCACAGGGGGTAAACACAAGAAAAACATGCTTTATCTGCAGCATTGCTCATTAAAATGGTACATTACTGATTTATTAACACTAAATACGATAGGTACACTTAATGACATTATATAAGCCGTTAGGTATTACGGTTGGCAAGTACTTTTACTTTTAATACTTAAGTAGTTTTAAAAGCTTGTACTTTCTTACTTTTACTTAAGTAAAATAATGTGGTACTTTGACTTTTACTTGAGTCAATTTTTGTCTGTGTATTTGTACTTTTACTTAAGTACATTGTATGAGTACTTTCTCCACCACTGCAGACAGTTAAGATCAGAGCTAATGTTGCCGATTTGGGACCGACTGAACCCCCTCATTCCATGGCCCTTTTGTGGCTCCTTCCAATACAAATCTGAATATCTTGCCTCTGAGAAATCTGCATGCCCATCTGCTGAGGCTCATGATCAGGGATGGCCGTGGATAGATGAGCAAGATGGAGTAGCTCCTCCACGTCTGGGGGGGGATTTTTCTGCAAGAAAAGGGAAAGCCTCCATCTTCGTGCAGGGATCCCAGCTCCAGCCAGGAGCTCCTGGAGGTTCTCACTGAGGACCAGCCTGTACCAGCTGTGTGCCTGAAAGAGCAAAGTAATGAAGGACATGTAAAGAACTCAATGGCTTCTGTGTAGTAGCATCGGGTTTTCACAATTTGATTGATCTCCATATATTGCACAGCCATTGAAACAGTCTAACCCTAACCCATGTCTGTGTCTCTGCACACCTAACAAAAAGAATCCCGTCACAACAGATTACATAAAATCAGCAAACACACGCGCAAGCTACATGGTCAAACATGCCATTCAAACTGAAACATTCCTCCCTCAGCACTACGCTCCAATCCATCTGTCGGCCTTGTAACTAAATGTTAACTTTGGCTACAGTATGGAGACTTTCACAAGCATAACCATCATGCAAGTAGTCAACCCAGATCAGAGGTTTGGGAGTTCAAAGTGCTATTTCCACTTTAAGAAGAAAAGGGCCCATTGCCCACCAAGTTTTTATCTTTGAAAAAAGTACGTAGATATACCACAGATGGCTGTTAAGTTGACCGTTGTTGGAGAGCTGCAGAACCAGCCTCTTTGGAAGGGCTTATTCATGCAAAAAAAAGGGGGGACTAAAAGTGAAAAGGGTTAAAACATACTGCGAGAACACTCCTACAACTAAATCTCTTGAGCCAGGGTTGAGAAATTCTTCCTGAGGCTCTTCTTACGTGTGCAGAAAAGCTCTAACAGCTAATCCAAAGATCACACTGTGTGCATGTTCCATTCAAATCCCCACTTAAAGGAAGGCTTTCTGTCCATGTATTTCACACCCAGCACAGATTAATGACCTCAAGCTCGTAGCTACAGCGGATGCAAAACCAAAAATACATTAGAAAATACAAAATGCTTCTGAAACCTGAAAGCAATAACAAAGAAATGTATATTGAAGAGGTAATACATTTGATTTTATTCTTTCTGGTGGCCATGGGTCACACTGACATGCTTGGTCAGGACAGAGGTCTCAGCATTAGTTCTACTTTACAATGCACAGCTTTAATCAAAGGGAACTTGCCTTGTTGTAGTAGTGATGGTAACAGGAAACGGCTCTCAGGGTGTGCAGAATATACTGCACAGTAGACTGAAGATTCTCCACAAGCCGCTCCAGATCCAGAGCCCAGGCCTCCCTGATTTGAGCTTCCAGGGGCAGGATCTCTGCTAATGTGTGGATCACATCTTCAGCCCAACAGACAAGTCCCTGAGGGGTGCAGTTTAAGTCATTAAAAGACAAAAGTCACATCACTGATCAAATCTTAGGGAGGATGAAAATCTGCATGGTAATTCAAAAATGCCTGGCTACATATTAAAGTAAGTTTTTTTTAAATGTCTGTGTAATCTGTACCATAGCTGGAGTGTGAATGGATGCCTCAAAGTCAGAGAGCAGTGCCTCTGCCTGTGCACGATCCTTGGCAATCTCTATTCTGTACAGTAGGAGCTTTTGTTGAAGTCTTTCAATCTTCTCAGTAATCTGGAGAGAGATGAGGTTCATGGCGGTGAAAAGCTTGCAAATGCAAATGTGCTGTGCATAGATGTACTTTCAAAGGGGAGGTCATCATGCTAACTGAGGATCATCAGCAAAGGGGCAAAGCAGGAAATGCTGACAGATGTGATTGGATTACTCGGCCTTTAAAAGAGTCCGGAAGTCAGCCAAATGGAGTTCAGTGTATCAGAGGTAGAAATAAAGAGCTGGATGTTCGGAGGGCTTTAGCTAGGAGTGTTGGCTCTAGTTTGACTCTTGGCTGTTGCCATCCAGAGTGGCTGGATGCCCCTGTGACAAACTCAAGGCCACAGGTGGAGAGCCGTTTGGGCGTGATACAGTTGCTCTTCAGGAGCTCTCACCCACCTGCAGCCCGTCTCTGCGCAGCTGAAGAACCTCCAGCTGCACGTGCGCTTTCCTGAAAGCCTGCTGCCACAACAGCTCCAGTTTCTCCACAGCTGCAACTATTCTGGAAAACAGAGCACTCTTTTTTAGTACCGAAACGGCCATGCTGCTGAAATGAGGCGTGCCACAATGTTCTAGTTTGGTGGATGCAGCATCTTAAAGCTTCAATGCTCTGCTTCCAGGAACCCATTCATAAAGTGGTGGTGACAAAGACAGGACTACTGCACCATAGCTGCCTGGATTAGGATTATAGGGGACAAAGACTAGTTATTTGAGAGGGGCACAGATCGGCCAGCACTCAGAAGGCTGAAGGCCAACATACCTGCTGTGTTTCTGGAGCATATCAAAGACGGTGTGGGTGAAGAGACAAGTGCCGGCCATGGCTTGATAGCAGGGGTCCTTTTCAGGGTGCCGTAGCTTCTCCACCACGTTCTCACAGCGTTTCAGCAGCTCATCCAGACCCAGATCTCTGCACAACACCACAGGCAAGTAAAGTCTGGAGGTCTGAAGCCACCACATCATTAGCACCTCCTGTCAGGTCTTTTGCACTAAATAAATGCCCCACATCAGGCTCTTACCAGCCTTGTTCTCCTACTCTGGCTGTGGTTTCAACAGTACTACAAAAGCCAGGGACTATGGGCCTAACCTCCAGATGTATCGCAGGGTCCAGTTCAGCTTTGGAGACGGTTTTTGCTCCGACCACACACTCAAAAAAGGCTGACTTTTTTAGATCCCCTTCATATGATGACTGAGAAGACTATATTGTTACAATACTCAATTCATTTGGTATTTTTAAGAAGATAAAAGCAGTCATCACGGGGGCACACAGCCATGGGTGACTGACCAAAGGGGGCTCCCATTCTGCTGACCACTTCCTGAACCTGCAGTTCCAACTCCAATACGTTGACCTTTCACAGGGCTGATCTCACAGACATGATAGTGGGTTTATGACCACTGCATTCTGCCTACACAGAAGCACAGGTGAGGAAATTGCATTGGGAAAATAAGGTGCTGTGCTCATCAAGAGGCATCTATGGAACCAGTTCTGATGGAATGAGGAAGGATCAAATAGACTCAGTATTTAATTGTGATGGGCACAAAGGCGTGTCCAAACCAACAGAAGCGCCTTTACAACTGCCTTTGACATAAATCAACCCCCGTTTCCAGTCAGGCTGCCTTTCCTCAAACTGACAGAAGTTCATAAGCCACATGGGCTGAGTCTTCAGGTGTTCAAATGTCCTCCAACAGTGCATTTGGGGCGAGGACTATGTCTGATTCAGTGTGAGAAAAAGGGTTCAGACTCAGACAGCACGTTCACCCCCAAAGCTGCCATGAGCTGGTTCATCCACTGGACCAGGTCTGGATTTAGCAACACTATCTGGCCCCGACAGAATTATGAGCATAAAAAAAAAATACATTAGAAGTCATTTGCATCAGCAAAGACACTCAGGTTGGTCTGCAACTGGTTCAAGTATCTTTTGAAGCTAAAGTGGGTCAGTCTGACCTCCTGAGTTTCAGGAACTGGTCCTGATTGGTGCTGCAGAAGTGTTGGAGGTCAGGGATGCTGGAGGGGAGCTCCCTCTGGGCCCAGGCCTGCAGCCTGGAGACGCTCGCAGGAAAACGCTCCACCACAGACAGGAAGTCCTGGACAAAGGCGTTAATCTCCTGTAGGGAGAGGCAGAGACTCAGAAAAGGCCACCATCGTAAAGAGGTCAGCATCGTTCCACATTTGTGGCTCAAGTGGTTTTCAGAGTCTCCAAACATGTGCATTCCTCACATCCCTCGACTCCTGTAGGATCTGCCATGATTATAGGAAATGAGAACAAGCCAAGCGTTGTGTGATTTACTGTAAACCGCAGTGTAAGTCAAATGCGCATTTTTCAAAATGAGGTCAGCAACAGAGCGACCGGCATGTGGAGCGGACGGCCAGCAGCACCCAACAAAAGCTGGAGCCTGATGAATGAGGCCTCTTTCACTTGCTAATGAGGTCGGCTGATTATGCGGGGAAATGACCAGCTTCACCAAGGTAGCAGCACCAGAATCAGGCTCTGGCAGAGCTAGTGAATGGATTCTGAATAAATATGAATGAGACTCATCTAAAGAGCAAGTGTGCTGAGCTCGGATAGGATAGTTAGGATAGGAGCTGTGGGGGGGTAGAGGTACGGGTTAGGGTTAGGATAGGAGCTGTGGGGGGTAGAGGTACGGGTTAGGGTTAGGGTTAGGATGGTGAAGGCATGTGTTTGTTCTTTTCTTCAGGGTTGGCCGAACAGCCAGAGGAGGAAAAGCAGGAATGGCTTTCACCTTTCTGCTGAGAGTACAGGTGTGTTTCTGAACTCTGGGACCAGGACTGATGGAAAACAGAAAAACAATGCAGACTCTGTGTTCCCTCTCAGGAAAAGGAGTTCCTCCAGATGCTGCAGGACGCCGGGAGCCCTGGGGTTCAGAAACACGTGATCAAACCCGAGAGCCTGAAGGGGATGGAGGTTCAGTATGAGAAAATACTCCAACAACTGGGGGACATCATCAAGGTACCGTCAGAGCCCAAAGCTTAAATCCTTAAATCCTGTTTGCTAAAGCTCACGCTTCCCTTCCTTCCTCTCCTCTCCACAGGATGAACAAGTCCGATAACTGCCGAGTCTTTCCCCTGATCTGATTGGACATTTGGAGTGTTTATTTCAGTTGTGTGATGAGTAAAATGTGTCTGTGCTCACTGAAATCATTCGAGTTGCTTCATTTCCCAAAGAAATGAATAAATGTCCTGAAGTTACTGAATTTGGGGTGAGGCTCTCTTTGAAATGGGGCCATTTTCCCTGGTCAGCAACTCTTCTGACATCTGACCCGATATGTTGAAAGAGCCATATTGGACCAAAAAAAAAAAAGCCCAAAAATGTCTGGAGCTGTAAAAAAGCCTTCTAATGAAGGCAACACATGCTGTATGTATCTATATTAGCTATATCAGCCTACCATCAAAATGACTAAGTTGGCTATAAATACAAAATGAGCCTCCATGATTAAATGTGATCATTTC